GTGCTAAAGAAGGAAAAAAGTGAAGCTTGTGTCTGAAGCAAGGAGGGCAGAATTGGAATTTGGTCTGCTTTTCATTCTTTTTTCCCTTTTTATTGTTTTCCATTTAATGCAATTTGGCAGCTTACAATCACATAAGTACATACTGACATTGTGTTTTAAACTCATGAACTTCACTGATAAGAGACTGAAAACTTTCATGTTTTATGAAAGGAGCATGTCCCATTCCCTTTATTTCCAGCTCTCTCCATTCTGTTGCTTTTTCTCCTGTAAGGACCTTGCCACCTGCTTCCTCTCCCAGAGACACCACCTGAGCACGTGCAACACATCCTACTACACTCACTGCCAGCAGCTCTATGGGACATGCAGACTGCAAACTCCAGAATTAAGAGATCCTCTTTTTTCTGTTTATGATCTTTCAAGTGAAACAACACTGATGACTTTGTAACTGTTCTAAGGTTGATCTGGAATGAAACAAATAACTTCATTTCTGAACATTCCTTACAAAATACCTGTACTCACCAGGCACATCTCTTCTGCAGCTGGTGTCAGAACTGGCATGCTATTCAGTCCCACGGTAAACAATGACTGCACCTGGAATGCTCCTCTAGCCTAGAAAGCTTTTCCAACTTCTCTGCTCCTTTCCAAGTACTGCATGAACAAGCAGGAAAAGACAAGTCTGCTGGCTGAGGAAAGGTGCAAGATGAGCAGGTGCCATGAAGAATTCAACATGTCCAAGTATTTGATTTGCATACCTGTTCTTCAGCTTTTGCTATTTGTTTGTCTAGAATCAACATATGGCCTCCACAAAAAGAGATGAATATTAAAATCCAGTGGGATTTTTATAACAGGATCAATTACAGCTGTCCCTTGGTACAAAAGCCATTCTCTCTCCATTAGTGCCTTCTAAGCATTATCATGTTCAAAACATAAATGATTCAAACTCATGATATGCCAGTTTTGTTATTTCCAAGGCAAAATTTTATTATTTTCCAGAGATCTACTTGGACACTTTTCTTAACAGCATTCTTAAGCTTTGAAGAAGTGTGCTGCAAATTCTTTGCTTTTCCACAGGTGGGGAAAGAAATCCAACCCATACCTGGATTTAATCAGAGAGGAAAAATTTAAATGTTCAAAATGTTTGATGCTTCCAGCACTCCTAAAAGAGCATCCACCTTTCTTCTGAAGTGCAAGTCATCTTTATTTTCAAATTAATTTCAAAAACCTATACCATGCTTCTCTTGAACATGGAGACAAATTTAACCTCAACTTTTACCTTCCACACTTGCAACCTCTCCACGGTAATGGCAGATTTTGAAAGCTATTCCAGTGCTCAGGTCTGTGGAGCTCAAATCCTCCCTCCTCCCACACCAACCCTTTCACCTTACTGAAGGAAATGAGAAAGAAAGTTTTCTTACCTAGAACTCCAAGGTTAATGTCCCCTGCGAACCCCACCTAGCAAGTCGACATCATGACATGTCAGGTCAGCCTCAACCACGCTTCCCTGATAGTCAGGTAAAAGGAAGGAGTTAAAATACAAAATTGACACTTGCAGATTTCTGGACATCAGAAAATATATTCTGAACTGTCTTTCAGAGCTTCTGGTAACCTCCAAGTTGTTAAAACAACATTTCTTCAGAGGGATTCTCCTGCTCTAAAATTTCAGAAGTTCCTGATCAATAACCAAGTATCGCAGATCCACCTTGACTATTTTATTTGAATGAGACCAAAAGCTTATGGTTTCCCTTTAGTACAAGTGATTTTTTTTTCTCCCTACTCTACACATTTTATCAACTAATACATGCTCAACAAAACTGCTCTGGGTTTCAAAGAACAATTTAAGCCAATAGACTACAACAGCTTCCTTCAAGTTCTAAGTTAACAGAAGCTCTAACTTCTTTTTGTTGTTGTTTTAGAAAAAACAGGAACACAACGTGGTACACTCTTTCTATAAGGCTCTGAGCTACTCCCACAGGTCATGAATGCCAGAATTCCACTGCCAACCTCCACCTTACAAGCAATCCTTAATCACACACGTACTCCACCTCAAGCCATGCATGATCAAAGATTGCTGCTGACAGATTTCTAGGAGAGGTCCTTGCTGTTCTATGGGTGGGCCACCAGCACTTTTGGATAACAATTAATTCTTGCTGACAATACATTCATTCAGTAGGGTCTGGGGGTCTTGGTACCAAATGTTTTTGAGAGGTTTAAGACATTTTGCTCAGCACTTCACATTTCTTTCTCTCCTAGCCTTATAATAAGAGTGCCCTCGGTATTTTTTTTCTGTGTAGTTCAAATTATAGAAATGGGCTTAATGTCCAAACATAGAAGGGACAAAAAGTGGTCAGGTTTTTATACAGAGTCACCAAAATCATGCGGTGATCTTCTACTTTGAGTTTATTTTGGAAAGGTTTAAGCAATGCAGTTGTCATTCTTTAATAATCAGACTACAGAAGCTGAGATTTAAAAGTAAACAATTGCTAGAAAACACTTTGAAAAAATGCAAACTATGTTGAATGAAATAGTAAAATTTTAAGTTGAGTTTAGTAAACTGACTTGTTAATAAAGTGAAATTAATATATAATAACACAGTAGCTGTAAAGTACTTTGCTTGAGTTTTGGAACTGCTAGGAATCTGGTAACTTGCTTCTCAAGTCAAACACCTTATCAATACAGACATTTAAGCAACTGCTATAAATGAGTGATCAAATGATTATTAAAACTCCATTTCATGGCTCCTCCTCCAATGCCAGCAGGACACCCATAAAAGCTGAATATTGGTGTGCAAGTTGAAATCCATTTTTAACATATTATAGAGGATTTTTTGCTAAGTTATATTGAAGAAACAATCAAAAGAAATGCACGAGAGTAAATTTAAATTTATTTTTAAACTAGATGTGAAAATTGTGCTGAGAAATTCTTCCTTTGAGTCAGGCATGGTAGTTTTCCACTGTACTACAGTATCTTTGCTTGATAATTTTTTTCCATAATTTCATTAAGTTCTTCAAGTTCAGCACACACCACTATTCAAGTAAGCTGTAGCACACCTTATCTATGGATTAAATAAAAGTACTGCTGCAAATTTAAAAGGTGAATTTGAGTAGCCATAAACCATGTAAATCAAAGAACTTGGTAGATCTTGCAAATATAAACTTCTACTGAGTTTAACTGTTATGGTTTTCAATGATAAAAATTAATAGCTCACTCCACATATTTAATAAAACTACTCATAGAAATGATGATTCGGGGAAAAGTAAATACAAGATGCAACCTTACAGTTCTCGAGGAAGACAATTTGAACATTTTTGTTTCTCAGCTCCTTTGTAACCACTCTAACTGAGATGTTGAACTTCCTCCCCACTCCCCCCACAGCACCTACTAGCACCTCACCTCTCCTAGCTAACATGTGCAATCTGGGAACACTACCTTCTTCCAAGATGGACAGGACTTCAAATATGACTCCAATTAAGCTCCTTGTACTAGATCCCCTTTACAATGAATACTGAAAAGCCAATACTTATTGGGACTACAGGGTTCTGCTCAGCACTACAAGAGCTGTAGAACTACCAGAAAGTCATTCAGATAGGGCAGCAAAAATTTGGTTTAGAACAGAATTACAAACCACATCCTTATCACAAGCAAAAGCCTGAAGTATATAATCAGGCAAAGCCCTCTGAGTTCAATGCTCAGGTAAGAAACAGAGAGGACATGATTTGGCTCCATTAACTTTATGAAGTGGGGGAAAAAAAAAACCCAAACCCCAACATAATAGATATTGATTTTTTTAAAAGCACTTTTAAGCTACTTCTGACCAATTCTATTAATTGGAAGAGGCTGACATGGGCAAACCCATTTCTGAGAAGCAGACAGACATCTTCGATTCAGGTCACAACTCAAACCCTGCAATCCCATTCCAGATCCACAGCAGTGTGGGGAGGCTCATCTTACTGGGGATATTCTGACATAACACACTTGAGACACCAGACAGGAATAGAAGACAAAGGGAGGAGTATGACCACTGAAGTTTAACTTCCTCAATAGTCTGTGTTTGGAATGCTGTAAATCAAGTATGAGCAATGTATTGGATTTGGATATTTAGAGGTCCGGCAATAGTTTTCTTTAGAGAAAGTATAAATCCGTTTGTTTCTCTCTTTTCTTGAGAAGCAAATGTTCTTCATTGTGGTACAGAATGGCTTAGATGCAACACAAGAGTAATGTCATGATTTGCCAGTTAAAATTGACATCTGGGAATGTCCAAGACAAGGGTCAAAGCAACACATAATATAATGTAGCTAGCAATGCCCTCAAAAGATAAAGTCTTAAACTTTTTAACAGCCTTTATTTTAAGGCAGGAGAATTCTAAGGCAAATTGTTCATCATGGCAGAACATCAAATTAAAATGTCAAGATAGAAATAAGCAGAATCTGGAGAGTATGTTCGTGTTATCCGTAGCAAGAAATTAATTTAGTGTGCCATAGCACCCAAGCTGTAATTCTCATTCCTAGTCAAATATTATTTGAGATTAGATTAAGATGCTTGAGATCAAAATAATTTCCCTGTGTGTCTGTAGGCTTAATTATACAATAAGGCTGGATCCTACCAGAACAGCCTCCACAGGGACTCCACAGGACATCACCAAAGGAACAAAATTAACACCATTGTAGGATCTGCTTCCTTCTCCACATTACATTAGAGGACTAGATTTAAATTAGATCTCTGTGAATGCTTGGATACAATTCAACACTTTCAAATAGGAAAAAAAGTTTCAAAATTAGATGCTGATAAATTATTGAACAGCAATTAAACAGTGAGTGCCTTTTGGGCTGTCTGTAATTTCTCCTACTTTTCAGTCTGATGTCCACAGTGCTACATGTTGGAAAGCACAGGAAATTTTGCACGAATTTGATCACTCACATAGGCAGTTATACTTTGAAAACAATATTTTTCACAAGAATTACCAATGAAATAATGTTTTAGGACACAATTGAATTTGAAATAGGTAATGTTTTGAATAGATTTTTGAGTTTTATTGAAATCTTACATGAACAAGAAATTGGAAATACAATCACATCAAGGAACAAATTGCCACGGCTTTGACGTTTTAAGCCAAACAAATTTTGTAGGGCAGATTTTCAAAAAGGTGTGAAGTTATAACAATTTAAAAACACAGTTATCCTACTTCTAGGAATGCAAAACATACAATCATGTTATTTTCAATACAAGAAAACTTAATTTGTTGTAATTTCTTAAAACTACTAAGACAAAGCACTAGCTTTTACTTTTATGTACAGCATACTCCTATGTAGTCTATCCCAAATCCAAAAAAAAAAAAAAAAAGAAGAAACTGTCCAAAACCAGAGGTTCTGCAAAATCATGATTGAACAGTGTGCCATTCCTGCTTTTAAACTGCTAAAGTGAAGCCTAAAATGATAAAAGCACTGAGACCCCATAAGGAGTTCAGGAATTCTGCAAGCCCAGTAATGTCCAAGTGCGTTTATGAAAAAAGAAAACTAAGAGACTCGAGTATATACACAATAGAGTGATTCTTCAGCCCAATACAAATGGCAGCCAATCGCTACTGAAGGATGAAACATTAAGCCAATTTTTTTCTTTTTTTTTTTTTTTGAAAGATGTAGAGCTAGAGCCAATTCTATATTTCCAATATTCTTTCAATCCCTCCTCACTTGTCTACTTCCACTGTTGCCCATAAGTATCCTGATAAAATTCCTGGTTGTCATTATTGTAACCATAGTTACCGGCATAGTCACCACCTTGCTGGAGCGGCTGCTGAGCGATGGGTTGGGAGCCCCAGTTCTGCTGGTTGTTGGTCTGCCGGCGCTTGGAATCAGGCTGGTTGTACCCATCTGCCTTTCTCTTGCCTCCTACGTTGCCCCCACGGTTGCCCCTGGCTCCACGAGCACCGCGTCCTCTCTGCTGCTGCGCGGGGCCCCCTCTCCCCCCCCTGGCTCCTCTCGGCGGTCCCATGGGTGCCCCCCTCTGTGAGTAGCCAGCTCTACCTCTTGGTGGTGGTGCTCCCCGCCCCCTAGGTGGTGGAGGGGCACCTCTCCCACCCCTTCCTCCTCCTCCTCTTCCTCTTATAGCATAGCCATCATCATAGCCGTAATAGGGATCTTCATAGCCACCACGGTAGTCATGATAGTCATAGCCATAGTAATCATCATAATAATCTTCATAGCCATAGTAATCTGGGGGATAGCCATATCCACCTCTTCCTCCACGGCCTCGGCCTCTAATAGGAGGTGGCATGCGAGGCGGAGGGTAGTAATAATAATCTTCATACCTAGTAAAGAGAAAGAAGCACAGAATTATTTATCTCCAAAAAGCACCTCAAAACACAGCATATATCTGCCTTTGTTAATTAGCAATATGCAACGTGGAGAGAAGTCCAGTCAAGTGATTCAGGTTGTTGTAGATCAGCCCCTGTTGCACAGCACAAGTGCAGAGTGCAGCAGTAGCAGGTGTGAGGGTGACACTCACGCAGTGCTCCGGGAGGCCTGTCTGGCAGCCTGACGTTCTTTCCTTTTCTTATCCGGTGGCTTTGCTAATACTATTTCAATTTCTTCCCCTTCTATCTCTTTCCCATTCATTTCATTCATAGCCTGTATAAAAATTAAAAGAAAAAGAACTAAAAATTTTTTTCCATTCAAAGGGAACTAAAACTTACTGCAAGAAACCAGACAGCTGGGCTGCTCCAGGCTGAGCTCTGCCATGTGCTTTGCTTTTGTGCTACATAAACAGAATGTTACACATCACTTTTCCAAGTCCCACTTTATTCACCAGTTACAGGGAAGCAGCATTTTTTTTATATCATAAGATAAAGAGGGTTAAAACATATTAAGAATTATTTTTATGAAGTCAGATATAGCACCATCAGTTTTTATGTTCCTGTATCTCCTAGAAACCTTTCAGAAATAAAGAAGTTTTCACTACTCTCACTGACATAAACACTCACTGGACTTATAAGCCTGGTAGAACACGTGCACACAAGAGAAAGAATTGTTATGTTTGGGGTTCCCAGGTAGCTGAATGTGAGTCAAGTGACTGAGAAAGTGAAGTAGTTCTGAGGACACAAGTAATACTTGAGGAGAAAAAAAACACAGAAGATTACTGAAACTTGGTGATCTCATCAAGCAAGCCCTGAATCCTCCAGAAAATCAATGTGCAATTTTTTACTATCAGATGTGCCCACAAAGAGAACTTAGTACACAAAGTACAATTAGGATTAGACCCCCCAGTTCCTCACCTGGAGTTATCTGCTTTGCATTAAACTTTTTTGGGTATTAATATTTGCATTAGTGAAGACTTTGTGTCTGTACATCTACATGCCTCAAAAACATTAGAAATTGTGGCAATTATTTCCACATTATTGATGAAAATCCGTAAATGCTAGAATCAGTGATCCAGTTCTATGCATTTCACACATAAATACCATAACTTCATTGAAAGCCAAACACATCCACACACAGAAATATCTCCCAAAGCTCATAAGCCAATGTAGTGGCCATGAAGCAGCCACATGGGCCAGGTGTGCTGGTTTCCAGGTTGAGATGAACGTTAGTGATGCATTTGATCTGTCTTTTCCTCAGCTGCTACAAGTTCCCAGTTGCTGAAATCTAACAGAGCATTTAGCAGGTAATTGTACTTGGGAAGGGCTGGAGAGTGTTTACAGACATCCCACAGAAAACCACATCCAGAGGTGTTGCTGACCTACCCCTTGTTTCAACTTCTTGTCCTCCCTCAGACATGGTCTAAACCTCTCCAAATCAACCTCAGCCTTGCTAAGTAAGTGATATTCATCTTAAAGCCATAATCAAGAGTATTCTAAAACCTAATCTCCTGTGTAGTAAAATCCCAAGCAATTAAATGGCTATAAAATCATTAATAAGAAGATCAAGTACAGAGCCTTTGAACTGTCCATGTAGCCACATACACCACATGCAATATATTTGCTTCAAGACTCCCAAATTCAAAAAACCACTTCCTATTCTCCTTCTTCCCCCATCAACTATGGAATTACAAGACAGATGGAGTAATTTCTACAGAATTCAATATACTGAATCACAGTCAGCAGATATTAATGAACTTCTCAACAGCTCATGGACACAAAGGAAGAGAACTCAAACTTACAATAATGATCTTCAATATTTAACAAGTCATGGAGAAGAAACCTTGGGCAGACACAGAGTTAAAACCAGGTAATGCCTAAGGAGTTGCCAACACCACTCTCCTGTCCTTCACAAAGCATTTTCTAATTACCTCCCAATTTGTGTTTGATACTCTGTCACTCCAAAACTACACACAGCCTTTCAACAGGGGTTTTTGAGAGACAACTGATACCTTCTGCCAGTGTTTCCTCAGTAAAATTGTCTAGGTTGATCTTTTTTTTTCCTCTTTAGACTCTCCTGCATTGCTCTACACCTCTTTTCCAGTCTACTTGTTAACTTGCTACAGTTTTGTCCTTTCAAGTTTCACATCCTCCTAGCTACTGAAAACCATAGGAACAAAATTATTAGCATTGAAATTCTCCCAATGGGAACCTTATTTAATGGGCTCTACAGTTTGTCTTACCGAGGTATTTACTGTAAAGAAATTTCTTAAAACCATTCATAAAAAATAAAGTGCTCTCACCAACTTAACCAAGAAAGAATAATTAACCTACCTTCACTGCTGCACCTCTGTCCTCAAAATGAACAAATGCATAATCCTTCAACTTCTTTACTCTTTCCAGCTTTCCAAATTCAGAAAAGGATTTCTCAAGAATTTCTTCTGTCACAGTAGTGGCCAAGTTTCTTACAAATAAAACTTTAACCTGGTGAAAAAATGAGAACAAAGCTGTAATCTTTAAAAGTCAAACCTCAAAAGAAACAACTAACTAGTAATTATTCCCTTTTTTGTTGCATTAAGAAATTTGGGTAACTTTACTAATTCTGAATCAGTTTAAAAAAAAAAATTGCCTCATAGTTACCTGTATGAAGTTCCTACAACTTCTTTCACAGTTCCCTTCCATAACCAGAAGAATATCCAACTTTGATTTTCTGCTTCTGGGATGCCACAAATCCCAGCAAAATTTTAGTAACAGACCTCAAGGACAAGCAAGGAGTTACCCCAAAACACTGGGATAAAATGCACATAATCATTCCCTACTCTGAACTTCACCTTTATCTCACTCTGAAAAAATAGTTTTACACAATACCTACCTGGTATGGATTACAGCTAAAGCAGGAAATGCACAGCCTGGTGTGTCAGTGCAGCAGGATAACCCTGCACAGGACTAGCTCAGATGTTCCCAGCACTTAGGAACAGCACATTTCCAACATTGCCAATGGCAACTCCTCCACAGTGCTCAGACCACTTGCACAGCTTAGGATGAAAATGCCCCCTAATTGCTTTTTGTGCCTCAAAACTAGCCTTGCTCAGCTGCAACAAATCTTTGTCACTAAGGCATAAAGAAATTCCTCCCAAAGCACAAGAGCACCCAGAGAAGTCCTCACTGACCTTTGCCATCACTTCTGGATCAGGTTCCTCTACTGGATCAGCCCATTCCACTGTAACAACATTTCCCCAGACTTTTACTTTGCCACTCATCAGGCGGCGGCGAGCTTGCGCTGCTGACTTGTGATCCTCATATTCCAAGAAGCAGAATCCTCGATTCTTCTTTTTATCATCAGGTTGATGATACAAAATTACATCCACCAAACCCTCTGAAAAACACATCTTTAGTACTGAGCTTCAAAAGGAAAGTAAAAATCTAGAGTCTACCTTCAAATGCCTTCACTCGTGTTTTGTAGTGAATTTGAATTTTACACCTGAAAGGGAGTGGGAGCACAAGAAAGGCAAAACAAATAGATATTCATCCAATTTACCCAGAAACATGTCACCCAGCAATTAAAATTCCTCAGAATAGCTCTGCAAAACATCAACCTCAGCAACTCACACAGTCTAAGTTTTCTATACTTTTGAAATCACTTTTACATCTTTGAGAGACAGCCAGCACTAACACATGACCTCTCCCCTGCCTCCTGCAGAACCTAGAAGGAACATCTTCCACATCTCTCCAAAAAGAGGAGAGAGAACTAAATGAATATTCACCTTCTGTTTTCACCACTTCCCTGAAGTACTTATAAATAGCAATCCTAAAAAAGAAGCAGGAGGTTAAAGCTCTCCTACAGGAACAAGAGCAAGTGACTCAATCTCTTATCTAAGGCAGCAGCACCCTTTCACTGATGAGCTGACTTCTCTTCTTCCTACTTGCTGCACACACTGGAGAATGCTGAAAAACTGGGACAAAAAATTAGTCTGTTATTAACTATTTCTCTAGTAATATTCCTTCCAAACCAATTTAGTACTCCCTCCTCCCCTTCACTACTCAGGAATACATTTGCTTCAGGCTCCCCAAAAAACTTCTCCATGTTGACAGCAGAACCTCCTGTGGATCCAGTAACAAATACAGAGCCTTCAACAGAAAGTTAGAACAGGGAACAGAATTGGAACCTGCAGTTTCTTCAGAGTTCATGTGTGCTGGTTTCTGAGTTCATTCGAGCAGTTTCCATCTCTGACTGTGAAGTTACATCATCATTCATGTAACAATCACTAAAACAAACACGAGCCCCTTTACACTCCACCTTCAGATGCAGTACATACATAAAATTTCTAACAAAGTCAAACTTGGAATCCAACTTGAAAATTGTTTAAATGATACCTGAACACATCAGTCAAACAGCCAGACCTACAAAGCAGAGACTAAATGGTATTCTGGGACTGATGAAGTCTTACCTGTGACTTTACCAAACTCTTCCAGTATGTTTTCCTTAGTTTTGTTCTTTGGAATTGACCCAACAAATAACCTGTTGTTTGCCACGGAGATGCATACTCCAAGGTGCTTGCCAGGACGGATTTCATAGTTGTCACACTGAAAAAAACAAAGCCATTGATTTGTTTTATCCACAATACTATGCATAAAAATATTCCCAAACCATAAACTCAGGTATTTTCTTCTTCATCTACTACTTTTATATATAGCATACTGAATTGGCATTGCAAGAGAATTCTTAGAGCAGCTGGTTTTGTGTCAGCATTCACTTGGAAGAACAGTGCCAAGCTTAGGATCTCCACAGACTTCAGAAGTTTTGTTGAATGGAAGCTACAAAAAAACCTGCAGCAACAGGAACAACATGGGACCATCTACAAATTGCATTGCATAAATTTATTCACCTACTGTTTATCTCAGAATTGAAAGATCTTTCTAGCAACTGGTTACTGCTTCCTCTGCTGTCAGTCAACTGCTGCTGCTGTTATCAGTAAGCAAATACACTGTATTAAAGATACTGGCAGTTTTTCCTCTTTCCTTTGAACACTGAGAGGGTTTGCCAAGACAATCAACAGTCTGAATAAGTCTGTGACCTGGCTTCTACCCCACCCACAACAGCAGGCATTTTTTTGACTTTGTATATGATAGGATTAAAAAATTTTACCATCAAGATTTAAAAATTCCATTAATAAAAAATCTAGTCCACTGCTTCATGCCTGTACCCACAGCTGGACTGCTCTGAAAACAAAGACTCCAACAGGCCTTTAAAGGTACAAGAATTCAACCTTTAAGAAAAAAAATTCAAGACAGACATGGTCTTTGTTTTAATCAGGATTAAAGCTGGAATCAAGTAGGCTCCTATCAATCACCCAAGTACTCTGATCAGCCACAGTAAGGTACAGCAGGTAACAGTCTTAGAAGTATCTGTATTTACTAATGAAATCAGGAGGCAATTTTTAAGAAAGTAAAATTTTGAGTCTGTCAATGGATGCTTTGAAGACGTCATTGCTTAAGAAATTACCAACATGTTTGCTGTTTGCTTTGTCTTGACCTGTCTGGAAGAAAGTGAACTCACCAGTTTGACTGCTTCTTGTGCTGCATCTTTACTACAAAAGGTAATGAAAGCATAACCTCTGTTCTGACCAGAAAGAGGATCCATCATGAGACGCAGATCCCAAATTGGACCAGCCTTCTCAAAGAGTGGTACCAACTCATCTTCATAAAGGTCTCGGGGAATTTTACCAACAAAAACCTAAAAAGGAAGAGGACACTTGAAACAAAGCTTTTTCAGCAATACAAGCTTCTTTTTAACACTTGGAAATTCCTGGGAAAGGAAGAACAGTGCAGATGAAACAGCAGAGCAGAATCATTGCAGTCACCAGTGCAGCCTTCAGAGCAGCTGATGTCACTGCATGTCCCAAGTGCTCTAATCCTGCTGCCATTTGTATGAGGTTTTACACACAGAAACCTGAGTTTGTTATTTACATGGAAGAGGCTATGAATTTCCCCTGCTGAAGAGATAAATGGTTCTTACCTGGTTTAAATTTTGGCAGTTAAAAACTAAGACCTTACAGGCTATCTAGTTGGGTATCATATGTTAAATCAGGCCAAGCACTTCCTTGCTCTTGCAGTATTTTCAAATCACTCTGTAAATTACCCTTCCTTGGAAAGCTACAGAGATGGAAAAATGATTTAATAATAATAATAATAATTTCCTTTTAATTGTGTGATGCACGTTTTCCACTTTTAATATACACTGTAGTCTTGTTTCTTGTCTGCATTTGTTTCACCAACAGAATCTTTAATATTTACTTAAGCAAACCTGTGAATTCTTGTGGTTTTGTTGCATACAATTAACTTGGGTTAAGTTTTGTTAAGGTTGATATCTTTAGCTGAGGTCTCCCTAGAAAGATCCCCCCAGCTGTTTAATCACTGCAGCTCTCCTCCAAAGTCTCAAAACCTCCTCCTTGTTAGTCCAAACAAAACATTCCAAACACCCATTAAGATAAAAATAAATTTATTTTAACTTCAAATATTTTTTGTAGGAAAAAAAGCCATGAGTCAACATTTTCCTTCTCAGGAAGGCCTTGCCATAATTGTATCTCACACTGAAGGCATGGCAGAATTTCAGAACTAAAGACACTCAGCATGCCCATAAGAAGCACCAATATAACAAACTCATGAGGAGAATATGACTAATTTGAAAAACATGGAACAAGGCAGAACTTCTAGATACTTCATGTTACACATATATTCCTGAAATTCAGTTTCCAGAACATTTCTTAAAAGCTTAGCCCCTCTAAGTTCAATGTGAATGTTGACTGAACATTACTTATTGGGGAGAAAGAACTGATTCATCACACACAAGTGAAAGTTTAATGGCAGAGCCCAAAGGTTTTTTTCACCATCTCCCTAGAAAGCTTAAGGTATTCCTCTAGATAGATATCTACATTGTCATAGAACACTTAATTCTAGCTCATTTGCAGCTTTTAAAGACAAAACCTCAATTAGCATAGAGCACACAGACCTAGCAGAGCTGGAGAAGTTATAAACATCAGTTCTTATCTTTCAGTGCAAGGACTCATTCTAATTATTTACCACCACCACTAAATTATTTTTCCTTCATGGAATATGAATGTTCCCTTCAGAAATCATCCTTACTGTGATACTTCTTGACAATAAACACAAGAGCTTCAGCATCTCAAAGAATGGAAAACTTATCTATAAACTGAAAGACATCAATAGACTGAATGTTTTCTCAAATCTAGTCTGGTGGTTTATAAAAAATCTCTGGAAAAACTCCTGTATCACATCTGCAGCAATGTGACAGAGTATTTAAGTGTTGAGCATGTATTACAATACAACCTGCTAGGGACTAGAACCTTGTAGAAAAGCTAAGTGAAGAAATACCAGTTCAAGCATTTTCATAATCAAACCTAAGTTTGCTCACAGCTTGCTAGGAAGATGCACAGGTTCAGTCACAACCATAAATTTCCAAATAATTGCTCACAGACTAGACTTGGTCCTTTGGAAGGAAAAAAAAAATAGTCCTTGAAACTCTTCCAATTATCTTTTAACTTTAAAAAGAACAGGTTTTTATATATTCCACTTCTTTTTTCTCCACTTTAACCTGTCTTCCTGTCTTTTGCAGAATACTGAGGAGTCTGAAAGATTGATTAAGACACACATGGGAGATTATTTTCCTCTATAATACATTAACCTTATTTTCAAGGATTTCCTATTGAGCAGTTTGCATAAGTATGCAAAGCAATGATCAGATCAGTCTGTATGTACCAACCTCTGTTCCAATGCCAGGCTGAACACCAGAATACACAGTATCTGGAGGAGGACCCCCATATTTCCTCTGTCCTGTAGTTACATCCAAAGTGTAACCAGTCCTCTCTAGCAAAGCCTGGGGAAAAAAAAAAATCAGACTACTTACAGGAAGGAGGGCAGTGGGTTAAATATACAGAACAAAAATCATTCCTAGACAAGCAATTCTTTATCTGCTCCTTGCCACACTTGGTAAGGTAGAGATGAAAAGATAGAACCTCCAAAAAACCTGTTGTTTTGTGGCTTTAAAAAGCTTTCATAAACAGCAGCTTTTGTTTTACATTACAAGGTCCCTGGAAAGAACTTGTTTGCCTTTTCCCTTATTTTCCATTTCATATGTAGCACCCCAAGAAGTGCAGAGCACTGGACAACTGAGACAATTCTCAAACAGGTCTCAATGTTTTTATAGGGATAAAATTTTGGTAATCAGATCAGAAAGAGCTGCATTTCCAACAACCCTTCTCTACAGAATCTCTACCATGCAGGCCCTTTAAAGCATAGTGTGAATACACTTATCCAGGTGGTATTGATGCTTTTTGAGTTCAAATTCAGTGTATGTACAAATGATATATCAGCTAGTACAGAATAACCAGTATTTCCAAGTGTTACCTTAATCTTTGCTTCATCTGGTCCCTTCGTTGATTCCTGTACTTTGCTGCCTTGTTTCTCTCTTTGCCTGTAGGTCTTCATAACTCCACATAAAAATGCACTTTTGTTCTGTAGATACAATTTACAAAATGATTCAATTGTGTGTATGACAAGCCCTGGGAATCCACTGAATCTTACACTCCATACCATGAAGTCACTACTTCAAGTCAATGAAATAAATGGCAAAAGAATCCTTCAGGAAAATACAATCATTAATTGAACAAACTTGTCAGATTGAAACAGCATTTTAACCTATTTTCTCAATTGCACACATATTTTTATTATCTGGGAGGTTTTGCTTTGTGCTCAAATACCTACACATTTAAGGCAATTTTTAACAGACTCGTTATTTGGGTTTGAAATCTAATACAGCAACATCAGTGAATTTCTAAGTTACAACTCCTGCCAGTGGTGCCAGAACACAATTTACACTGGTGTGCTCACACCCCTGGGGCTCTCACCTTACCTGTACATGCGACAGGTCACTTTCTTTAAATTGCTGTAATACAGAGAGGGCTCCTTCTTCATTAAATTCCCTAAGAGCATCAATTGCTCTTTCATCAAGATCGACATAAGCTACCAAGCCTAAAAGTTAAAGATAAAGAAGTTACAGATTTCTATTGAATTTCATACAAACTAAGAACTATGCAATTTGCTTTTAAAGCCAAAAAGTTACATTCCATAGCAACAGAATTATACATTTAATTATATATTCCTACACAAGTATATGAAAGAATATGAGTACAATGAAAAAGTTAAATTAAAATGTATATACCTAAGCACTAACTGACTGCAAGATTATATCCCATGTGTAACAGTTTTCTAGCATTCAGGAATGCAATCTGCTGCATAAAAGCAGTTTTACACACCAGGGTCTGAAACAATGAGCTCTGGCTCGCTTTTAATGATTTGAATTTTGTTTGTTTATCCCTCATTTTAAGTTTCACACTTTCTTCTCTTGAGCTGAGCTGTTTTAGGGTAAACTGGCAGGTGAACATTACAAGTATCCTATTGGATGGGGAAAAGGAACCACCCAACTGATGAGCAAATACCTAGGAAGCTCTACCCCATAAAATATTAGGAAGTAAAAATTATTTGTTCACTCTTTCCTCCAGCTTCAAAAAAGCAGGAGTCAGTGGACTTCATGTGAATCTTGAACAGTGTTTGGGGCTTTTTAAACTTCTTTTGTTGCTCTATGCAGTTCCAAGAGCCAGAATTCAAAAAGGTATTATTTTGAGCCCTGCTATGTACCCAGAAAAGCTAATGTTAATTTTACAGGTACAGACTCCCCCAAGAAACACTGGACCAGTTCTGAAGCATTTCTTTTTAAGGATCTTTACAGGGTTTTGTTTGTTTGTTTTTTTTCCTTTTGTAATGTACTTGCATCAGTTGTGGAGTCAGACATATAGAGTGAGATTTACACTTTTAAAATCATACATCCAAATTTAGGATAAATACTAAAACTCCACACACTTTGCAACAGCTTGCTCTCCAAAATACACAGATTATTTCACTGCTACTTGATTTGGAAAATGCACAGTAGTGCCAAGCCCAAGGACTACATTTCAGAAGTGATCCTGCATATTGGAAGGCACCTGTAGCTTTCATAGAAGACTTCAGCAGACCAAAAAAATCGCTAAATTCAACCCCAAATTTGGCTCAAGTGTCTAAAGCAGTTTGCTTCACTGACAAACCCCTCCACAATGCAAACATCTTCAGTGGCAATAATGAAGTGTAAATAAATGTTTTCAGCTTACTCATGCAGTGGAATTATACTTGGTAGTCATGTTCTGGGCTAAAAAGCTTTTAAACTCCTGAAGAACTCCTCACAACACAACCTAACTGCAAGACATGTCAGCAGCCCACGAGTTGCTCTGCCCAGGTGTTTACTGACACCTTCTCTCAGACCATCCAGTGCACGGCATGGTGACCCCCAGCTGGAAAGTGCCTCTCTAGAGCCAATCAAAGCTGGCAAAGGCTTGAAGAAAGCTCACTGTGAATGACTTCCAAAAGACATCACCCACAGGAGCCAGTTTCACACTGAGGATTGATAGGTATTGGTTTTGAACTGCCTTCACTTGATCAGGGTAATTTGAACTCTTTTCAACAAAAACTGTCATTTTGCCACCCAGGCATTCAAGATAAGCACATAGAGCAGTTCTACTGCTTCTTGTAAATCTGTTCACAGAACACACTCGAAAAAGGAAAAGAAAGCCTCTGTCTATAAGATAAAATAGGGTGGTTATAAAAACAAAATAGGAAAACCTCTGTATATGAAGAAACCTCTTTAGAAGTTGCAGAGACCACTTGCTACCAGCAAGGTGTTACTGGAGTTGCTAGATAGCTCAGTCCTCAACTTTGTTAGTGTCAGGCTGAACATTGCAGTGTAATAACCAACATGGATTAAACTGTCCACTCAGAACTAGAGAGAACAAAAAATCCACAGGCAGACTCAATTCAAATGTAGTCCCAGGCAAGACAAGCTAGTTGCTTCCCTCACTAAGTCACCTCTCCAGCCTTTGAGTGTTTTAGGATCACTGTGACAGTGACAGTAGAAACATAAAAGCAAAATGATGATTTGGACTGAAGAAAAAAAAAATGTACAGTTTAGTATGTGGAAACATACATCTTCATTTGTGCTCTAGGAAACTAGTGCTCTGTGCCCTAAAGCAACTAAGATATCACATACAACTCCAAGGATGTGTCAAGTAATTAGTCAATGTCAAACCCAATTTGCCTTTAGGGAAATCAAAGTAGCAAAACATTCAGAGCTACACAGATCAAAAACAATGAATTTTTAAATCTTAATCTATAAAAATTTGAAAATGGTATGCCCTCACTTTCATAACCAATCAGAAACAAGAAATGCATATTATACCTGTCTGAAATATTTCATCAAGTCTCTCTGCCACCTTCTGTGGGAGGCCTGCCTCTATCAGTGTCTTGTAGTGTTCTGTGTGAGTTACACTGGAAGTATCCATTGGTTCTTCCTCTTCTTTTAACTGTACCGCATTACCATTCACCTGATTAGCCATTTTATTATGCTGCTGGAAAAAATTCAGGAGCTATATTACAATAAGCCAGAAATAACTAGTTTGTAGGACAATGCATGATTTATCTAAACTAATTTGTATACATGCTGCAAAATCACCTGTATCAAGTTTTATTTAATACTTTTTGGATGCAGCTGCTCTAAGTTTCAAAAGAAAGTACAACCCTTAATACTGTGAAAAATGTACATGGAAGAATTTACATAACTTTTTAAAAATGTACTTCATGTACATAACAATGTCTAAACTCCATCTACTGATTGTCATTAACTGGTTACCATAGCAGCTAGAATGTCTGGGGACACGGCAGCAACATCCTTCAGCAAAGACTCAGAAGATCTAGTGCTAGTTCCATTTCCCATTCCGCTACTTTTAAACCAATCCTTGAAAATGTAGTGAACACCGAACCCTGCAGGGTAGCTTAAGGTATAAAAATGTTAATACTTGTTTCTTGGTAATACTTTTTTCCACTTGCTTGGCTTGTTGCCATGTCTTCCTTCAAACCCCACATGCTGCACAAGACTAGCCACAGGCTTTCTCCCGACGCTGTCAGATCTCAAGGACACAAAGAGAAAATTGCACTTTGATGGACATTGTCATTTGAAGCTCCAACGCAACAGTTTCCATGCTTTCAGTTTCCCTTAAATAGGAGCTGTACAAATCACAGCTACTATTTCAATAATATACACCTTATTGGTTTAAAAGGAAGGCATGACTGCAGCATCTTCATTTCTTTATATTAATAAAAAGACTTGCTTTCAGAATGAACAAACTGATTCCAAATCCGTGCACTGAAAAATGCACAACTACCTTCTCAGACAATCCCAGTGGGCTTTGCCCAATTCATTAAAGACTGTTTCAATTTCCCAATTAGCCAGCCAGCTGATATTCAGTGCTTTCAAATAAAAAGGCTGACAGAGACAATCCAACTACACAAGGAACACAAGGATGATCAGCTGTCAGGTTCAGAAAGGAAACAGCCTCAGGCTTTACATGACAGGGCAGAGGTTGATGAGCAGCAGTGAAATGATAACCAGGTAGACAATGCAGCATGGCTGGAGCAATGCAATCAAGTACTGGAATACAGGGATGGAGATGATTCAAGAACAGTTTTTGTAAAAAATGCTGAGGCCTCAAGCTATTTACTAAGCTGCAAAACAAGACTCCAAGCACAAGCACACCTCCAACAGTCCCTTGAACACCCAACCCTTCCAGACTACAGCTCATCAACTGCTGGCAAGATACCCTATAAAGATTTGCAAGTAGAGCAAGGGAAGAAAAACACCAAATCATTTTTCTTCAGACAGTAATGATTTTACTAAAGCTGTCTTATCTTGAAGGGCAGTTTTAGAGACATGTAAAGCAGCCTCACACTGTTCCTGTCAGATGCCACTTCTTTAAGCCATTAGTGTGCAAAAGAAAGGAAGTTTTCCATAGCTACATGGCATATATATATACACACAGACACATTCTGCTACTTGACAAAGAGAAATGACTTTCTAACCAATTCAGTTTACTTAAAAGCAGCTACAGCCTAATTACAGAGAAAAAAAAAAAAAGCTACCTAAAGCTACAACAATGCTTACCTATCCTTACAGGTATTAACTAGCTAAACACTAATGAACATCAATTTTCTGTAGGTTAGGAACATCACAGAAGGCAAAACTCAGCTACATGTCTGCTTGCTAGGCAGCCTTGGGAAGATCTCAAATTTGAAACAGTGCAGGGCAGAGGGGGTTTAATTACACCAAAAATGCTTTGGGTACAGCACCATTCTCAAGCCCTCTTCTCAAAACCTCACAAGCTGAGACACACAATAAAGATATAAAGAGGAGGGCATTTTTGTGTTCACCTTCCTACTGCCTTATAAAATCATTTCATTACACATACACTGTCTTCTCTATACACAGGAGGAAAAAAAAGCCCAAAACCAAACCACAATGAGAGACTACAGCAACACATAAACACAGAAAATTTATTGGAAGCAATTTCTCTGACCTTCTGAACTACAAGGGCTTATGGTGACACTCAATGACAATTTTCTGATAATCCAGAGTAGTGTCCAAGTGTCACATATCCAAAAGTTGAACACTTTTTCAGTGTTGCCTATAAGTGAACAAAAGGCTGATGAGCTGTGCTGTGCCCAGGCAGAAACACCTCCTCTGGAGCAGTGATTCCAACTTCTGACAGGCAAGGAAAGGTATCAGCCTTCACCACAAGCAGGTAGCACTGGAGCAATATCCAACCCCTAAGAATCAGATTACTGCACAGCACCACAGCTCAAAGGCTTTTTGGCAATGGAAATGAATATTCAGCTTTGGAATTTACTAGCTGTATTGTTTATTTTTGCTTAAGATTTAGTTCATAAAGAACTAAAGTCAAATGCAATGCATGTTCAAGTTGGGTTCAGATTTTAGCTATTTCCAGTTACACAAACTTTATTTTAAAGGTTTTCCTAAAGAAATAGACTGTAGAAAATTCCAAAGTGACACAGCTACCAGAATATTCAGTATGTATCTCTTTTCACAGATATAGCAATAGATCCCTTAATGGCTTGGCAAGCTTGGCCTGAAATCTGAGATTAAATTGATTTTTCTCCCCCAACAATCACCAACAAGCAAAACTGCATCTCTTATAACACTGAACTTCCCTCTGAGTTCAGCAGAGATCCGTGGGTTAAAGTCATGGCTGAGAAAGCCTCTTTGGCTCTCCCTCTAGGTAACATCACTTCGTTGTAGTTAACAAGATAAATATTTTAAACTGGATTTTACCTAGTAAGTAAAGCACCCAATGATTACTTGACCATTTTTATTCTGCTCTAAAGGATGTTAAAAGCATGGTAAAGAGGAGTGCTAGCTCTGTTTGCAGTGTGTCCATGTGACTCAGCCTGTGACAGACCCGCACACACTCAGGTTCTCATCTGCATTAAATATTAAAATATCTGGAAAACACGGAGACTGCTTGAATTGGAAAGACTTCAAGGGTGGATTATAAGTAAAGAATTCTGGATATAAGTACATATGGGATATGTGTTTGTTTTTAAAACATGCAGAAATGGATGAATTTAGAACAGTGGACACAAAACCATGCTGACCAAATGAGCAGAAGTAATAAAGAGACATCAGGGACAATTTTACACAGGCAAGGAGAATTCTCACTGGTGCCCAAGATTCTGCCTACCCTCACACCTCCTAACTGCACACCAGAGGGGTCTTGTTTCAAGTTTCCCACTGCTGCAAACAATGCCTTGCTGAAGACTGTAAATACTTCATGATAAAAAGCACGGTTTTAGCTGTTCACTAGCTTTCACCCCAAATTCCTGCCTCTCCAGACTAATTCACAAAGTTACTAGCCCCTTTTTTTAAGCTCTGGTATGACAAGTAGGAAGTTAAAACTATAGGTGCTTGCAGTGTTTCGTAACTTAAATGGCTCAATTAGTTATTTTTCTGGAAAATAAATAAATTAACATAGGTCTAGTCCTCAAAGTGTATGGCATCTTGAGAAGAGATACCTGATCACAGCCTGAATCTGACAATCACTGGATAAACAGCCATGATGTTACTATTCCTTTATCTTATACCATGCCTCTAACAGAGGTTGCCACCTACAGACTATCTAAGTATAACTCCATCCAATTAATTATAAATTCAGTCTAGTTAACTCAAAACATGCTTAGGAACAGCTTAATTGAGAAGGAGCAGGAAATTTCTGGCAAAAGGACAATATCTAAAACGACCATAAGGAACTTCAGTGATTATACACCAACGCTGGTTTTGCTGCTGAAAACTTGAGTTTCATGCAGGAATGGAACTTGTTTAGCTCAGGTGCACAGGAAGCCAAGTAAAGCATAGATAAAAACTCTGCACCCAAGTCATTCAGCCTGCTTATGTTGCTACTCCTAACCAATACATTGTCTGTGTCAAGCAGTTAAGTTAAGTCATGTTAAAAATAACACTGAAGGAAGAAGTTTGGGGGACATTTGATTGGCTTGGTTGTTTTAATTGACCACAAGAAAACAAATGCAGTCCCTGTAGTTGTGCCTCACAATTCAAGAAGGTTCTTGTCAAGCAAGGAAGATAAACATACAAGTGGGGGGGGAATAAGAATCCACATTTAAAGTCTGAACTGGAGTTTTATTAAAACCTCACTTGTTCAGAAACATTTCTGTACAAAGGGGCAGAGCCTTTATTCTGTACATGAAGGCACTATAGCCATTTCTTTTATACCTTAGCTTATTGAATCACAGAAAACACATTTTAATAGCTTACTTATGATATGCTAGGTGTTCATGAAACTTCATTTTGAAGTAATCACAGCCTGAAGACCTTTACACAGCAGCCAGGACCTCTCACTACCTGTAAGCCAAAATGCAGCCTCACTTCTCCAGCTCAGCCTTGCTCACTCCACAACCCCCTGGAAAAATCTGAGAACCTCCAATGTGATGCTAAGCAAGAGACCAGCACAGCCCAGAGAGAAACAAACTCTGCTCAGTACCCACACAGCTATGGTTGGGAGATGACTTTAGCACAGCAGGTTAGAAATGTGCCCATCAGTGCCACTACAAAACACTGACTGCACCAATAACTCCTCTGTTTTGCTAACCTAAACCATGAAGTCTGGCCATGCTCATTTCTCACTGGAGTTGGCTATTCACAGCTCATCTGTGTTGTACTAAACAACACTCTTGGTACTCCAGTTCCAAGCAACAATTCAACAGAAATGAGCTTTGTTCTAAAGAATTTATCCTCAAAGAATTTCGCCGATGTCTGTCTAACAAAGCAGGGAGTATTGGAATTTTTGACTGAACTAGGAACTTGAGTGTCAGCAGGAGACTCAAGTATTATTTTAACAGTGTTCACCTAGACAGAAAAACTGAAAGATAAGGACATGTAATGCTTGTGGGAAATACAATTTCAAGGATGCAAAATTTTCAAGCAGACACTGCTCATTTGCAAATACTACACTTTGCATAGCTTACAAAAAACTTACACTGAGAGATGCAAAATCTGATTACTTTTACAAGTGAAAAACAAAACAAAAAAACTCTGCTAAAGTGGAGTCTCAAAGAAAAAGAAAAAAACAACCAATCAAAAAACCAAAGCACCAGCTTCATGAGCATTAATGTCCTTTGCAGCACCAAGTGCCGGTGGGATCCTTTAGAGCCATAAACATGGGAAAGGGAAGCCAACACACTGTTTCAAAAAGAGTAGTCCAGCACAGATAAAGTATTGAAGTAGCATGTTCAAATACTGACAGGCAACAAGGCTGCTCAGACCGAGTAAATAAAGTCTTATTTTTGAAGTATTTTCAACAACGATGCATTTAAGCAAAACTTTTCAAGATTCAGCAAAGGCTTTTGACAAAAGTTAATTGAAGAAAAAACAATGTCTTAACAACAAAACTTTGGATAGCTTCCCCTTGAAGCACTGGACGAGCGTTATTCCCTGGCTGGAAGCAGGAAGCGCAGCCCCGAGCGCTGCGGGTGGGTGCAGCTGTCCCTGCCGGCTCCGCCGCATCGTGCGCTGCCTCGGCTCTGAGGGCGCGCTGCGACAGCGCCGCATTCGCCGCTGACAGCGTTCTCCCGTGCCCGCGGGCAGAGCGGACCGGGCACAGCCGGGGCTGCTGCGGCTTTAAGAGCCCGGAGGGACCGAGCAGGGACCCGACCCGACCCACAGCCCCGGGAGAGGCGCGTCCCGGCCGCCCGTCACATGCAACCCTGATCCGCACGGCTGGGCGGAGCGGGCCGGCCGCCCCCCAACCCCCACCCGCCGGGCCCGCCCCCGGCCCCTCCCCGGCGCCGCTCCCGCGCCCGCGCCCGCCCGCTTTGCCCGCGGAGCGGCCCCGCGATGGCCCCCGCCCCCCTCCGCTCCGCCGCGCCAGCGCCCCGGGCCCGTCCCCGCCCGCGCCGGGCCTGCCCGCAGCCCGCGCTGCCCGTCCCCTCGCGGGGCCCACGCAGGAGGGCTCGGCGCGGCCGCGGAGCGCCCCTGCCCCGCGGGGCGGCCCCGGCACTCACCGGAGCGGGGCCGGCGCGGCGCAGCTCGGGCCCAAGCAGCGACGGCAAATGGCGCGCGCTCCTCCTTCTCCTCATGGACGGCGGCGCGACCCCGGCAGCACGCGGGGTTTCCCGGAACTGTTTCCAGGGACCGCTGCTTCGCCCACTCAGAAACCCGCGCTCCGGATGGGCAGCCGGCGGAGCCAATGAGATGCGAGAGGCGGGACGCGCCATTCCTCCCGGCGGCCAATGAGCGGGAGGCGCCGTAACCAATCGCGGGGCGCCTTCCACCCGGCGCGCCGGTAGGGCCGGACAGGGGGCATTTAAAGGGGCAGCGCCTCCCGCGGCCCGAACAAAGGGAGCGCGCGGGGCCGCTGCGCTCAGCTCCGCCCCCCCCACCGGGGCGGGACCTGCGCTGAGGGGGCGACGCCGGGGCCGGAGCAGCCCCCGGGCCCGGAGCTGCCCCCGTCCCTGCTCCCGCGGGGCCTCCGGGACCCCAGCACGGCCCGTCCTCTCCGCGGGGACTCCCGCGCTCTCCGAGCCACGGCTCGTGTGAGGCCCCGGCCCGGGTCTGGCCGCGTTGCCCTCCAGGCCCGAGGCAAGGAGGAGGAGCCGAGCGGCTGCGGGTCAGGCTCATCCCAGGACAGTGGCGTGCGGGGCTCTGCAGCTGCTAATCTGTAATTAATGGGTGATTAAGCCTTACTTGCCTGCTCACCAGATTTTCTTGATGCGGCTCTCGATGAGTGCAGGCTGGACACAACAAATAGATAAGTCAGGGAGAAATCGGCCTGTTGGCAGCGATGGTGTTGGGCTGGTTTCACGTGCTTGTCATGCTGTTGCATAACGTGGAAGTCAATGTGTGCTGGCTTGGCTCAGGCTGAATCCCAGAGTGCTGTGTCAAACTAAACCCAGAGAACCTGTGTGTGTTCCTACGGTCACACGAGCTGTGCATCTGAAGTCTGGTGAATAAAAGCAGCAGCTCATGTACTCTCAGAGAAGGTTCTTCCAGTACCTTCACCCAAGAATTAATTACTCTCCTGAAGATGGCATGTACCTGTGTGGTGAATCATGTGTGATATCCCACCACTGGTAATGTGGGATTTGTGGGAAAAGCAGGATGTGATGCCCAATGTTTCCAAGCCAGAAGCTGGAGAAGGTTGTGCAGATACTGGAGGTGTTCAGTCTGTCTTGCTGAACCTGTCTGGCAGTAGACATGCTGCTTCTCTTGTAGCATTGGCACTGCCTCAGTGACTTCCTGTGGTGCTGTTCACAGGGGTCCCAGGATGAGGGAAGAGATGAAAATCTTGACTCCATGTTTCAGAAGGCTGATTTATGATTCTATGATTTATATTATATTAAAAAGAAAGTGATATATTAAAACTATACTAAAAGAATAGAAGAAAGGATTTCATCAGAAGGCTAGCAAGGAATAGAATAGAATGGAATGATAATAAAATCTTGTGACTGACCAGAGAGTTCGAGACAGCTGGACTGTGATTGGCCATTAATTAGAAACAACCACATGAGCCCAATCCCAGATGCACCTGTTGCATTCCACAGCAGCAGATAACCATTGGTTACATTTTGTTTCTGAGGCCTCTCAGCTTCTCAGGAGAAAAAAATCCTAACAAAAGGATTTTTCATAAAATATGTCTGTGACAACTTCCCTCTTGAGATTTGGCATTGGAGCCAGCTCTTCAGTGCTGGATGTTGAGTCTACTGTGGTGTAGAGAAGGAAGGAGGGGTAATCATTCATTGCCTTGCCCATCCTAGTTCACTGCAGTGGTTTTTCTGTGAGTTGAGAGTCGTGGGTTAAAGGAGTTCTTGCAATCCTGAGAGGAATTGAGGGAGCTGAGCATCTTTAGTGGTGCTTAATAAATGTCCTGTAAAGCTCTTAAATTTTTTATAATATAGTATCTGGGAATGAATTATGAAGTACAATGACATATATCCTGTCAGCTGGCCACTGAACATGATGAGGCTAATCAGCAAAGTGTATACTGAGAATAATTTCCAGAATATCTCTAGCAACTCCCACCCTAGGTTCTGTGTGCTTTGCAGTGCTTTGGTCTCGTGTTACACACTACAGCCTCAGCCCAAAATGATCTGACACCTCTAGCCAGGAACAAGCTATAGCCTGCAGGTATTTGGGTTAGTGCCAGACACAAGCAGTGCCTGAGAGGAGGACCTAGATGCTCGGAGATGATGAAATTTAAATTTTTGCTAGATTTCTCAATTTTAATTTTTGCTAGAAAATCCCAGAATGAGACTAGATACAGTTCTCTGTGATTGGAGCTGAACAGGTACATGTGAGATCTGATTTAGACCTGGGCCAAGACAAAACAAAAATAATCTTGGAATAAAGGAGAGGGTTAATCTCAGCTGCTGAGAGCTGGAAGGGCAGGACAGTCCCCCTGCCTCTGGCAAGGAGGCTGCCCTGCTCTGCTCCTTCAGCACCTGTGAGGGAACAGAGCAAAGGAAGGGAAGGGATCCAGCTTTTCCATTGCTCTGTATATTTACTCCTCACCCTGTTGACATTTTCCTGTGTTCAGTGGCCAGGTGTTGCTGAGGCTCAGGGTGTTCCAGCAGCCTGTCACTTCTCTTCCACATTGGGCTGAAATTCCTGTGTATTCACATCAGCAGCAAGAGTTGAATCTGCTGTAATTTGTAGGTGAGCTGTTAACTTATATATGGAATATGACATTTCCTGATGCTCTAGACTTCTTATCCTGACCAATCATTAGTACAGCATATTATGGATAATATGTTGCAGATGTGCCACCTCCAGTAAATATCTTGTTCTATGCAGCTCTAATATGTTTGCTAAGTCCCAGGCTTTCAGGGAGAGGTCTGTCTTAAAAATATTCAAGCTTTATTTATCAGTAAGGAACTTTTTGAGCACCCTCAGTGTGTTCCACCATCTCTACAACAGGGAAATACTCAGGAAAATTTCTGCATGCAGAGGCCGTGCTACTGTTATTACCCTGTGCACATATATTTATTTTGCCTCACACAGTTTATTTGATTTCTAGGAAAACACACACACATGTCTTTGTCTTGACACTTTCCCTTTATCTGCTCTGGACTGGGGAGGTTGAGTGTGACAAAAAGGCCCAAAGAGACAAAACTGAGCTACCTGGGTGCCTTGCACTAAAACCAGCTTGCTAAATAAAGATCTTGGATCTCACTTTCCTTTCTTTTCTTTTTTTCCCCCACCCCTGAGCTAAGGATTCTTGGCAATTTCCATCACATTTGTGTAGGATCCAGCACAAACCTTGGGAAATAGCTTCTGTTTGCTGCAGCACAAATCACCAGCTCAGTTTTAGCTGAAAACAAATTGCACTTTTCCTACTCCTGCAGTGGCCAAGCAGTGTTGGGCTGTGATCTTTAGGAGCACAGTACAGACAGAGGATCTGGTGCTAAGGAAGGATAAAAGCATCTCATTGAGACATAAAGGCTGCTCCAACAAGTGAAACTTCTGTGCTGTAGGTGGCTATGGGAAGTCAGGGTGTTGTGAACAGGATCAGTCCAACCCTGAAGAACTGAAGCAAATAAACTGAAGCAAATAACCAAGATGCACCAGTTCTGGCAAAGAGAGAAGAATCCCTTCCTTTGTGTACCCCTGTGCCTGTGGGACAAAGCAGGGGACAAGTCATGCCATCAGCCATTTCAGAGTGCTTGAGGAAACCCAGAACAATTAGTCCCTTTATGACCTGTGGTCTGAGTTCAGCACTATCCTTGCAGCCTTACCAGTCTCAAACATCAGCTTTGGTTTTGGTTGCTCTCAACCAGAATTGCCTGGAAGCAGATGGCAGAAGTTTGCAGCTTTCCAAAAGGCAACTAAGCCCTGTCTTCCAGGTTGCATGGGCTGAAGGGGAATCCTGGAAGGTGTACAGACACCTTGTGCCTTTTTTACTCCCCAGCAATCACCCAGGTCTGAGGTACAATCCTGTTTTACTCCCCAGCATTCCTGCTCTGGAATCCTGCAGCAAAGTCTGGAGCTGGCATCTCTCCACCCACGGGCCCTGGAGTGGTGAGTGAACCCAGACTGCTTGCTGCAAGTCATTCAAATGTTTGTGTCCTTTGCTGGGGGCCAAGAAAGCTCTGTGGGGCAGCAAGGCACTGACTTGCACACTGCAGCCCTGAGGGACTTCAGAGAGTTTGTGACACCTTTCTCTGGGGCACAGGAGATTACAAAGGTCCAAATCCCCTCCCTTACAGGTGCTTGGGCAGAGGCTCTGTGGCTGAGCTGACATGGCTGAGCTGCATAGTTAGTGCACCAAAATAAATAGAATAAAACCCAGAGATGTGAATTTAAATCCTGATCTGTTCCCTTCTGAATACAGAGCTGTTCTAATATTTATGCCAGCTTTCCACAGTCCACTGAAGCTGTTGTGCCAAACTTTTCACTAGTGACTCTGCAGCTTTTGAGGAAGCCAACCCCACCTGACAGATACAATAGGAGAAACATTCTGAAAAGGGTAAAAAATTGGATTTTTAAATAGTATATATATTTTAAAAAATATATAGTATTTTTTGGTGTATATATATAAAATAAATATATATTTATATAAAATAAATATATATTAATATATATATTTTATATATATATACACTAAATATGGTGTATATATAAAAATATATATAATATATTAATATATATTTATATAAAATATATATTAATATATTATATATATTTTATATATATACACCGTAAATATAGTATATATATAAATATATATATATTGATATACATATATAAATATATATAGTATATATTTTTTTTAATAGTATATATAACCCAAACCCAATAGTCTATTGCTTTTCATTACTCAGTTCATCTCACCAGGTTCAGAGAGGTGGGGAAGGTGCCCATAATTTGTTAATTAGCCCCAACGAACAGGAACAAAGGCCACAGGGAAGCTCTGTGCACAGCCTTGGCAGAACTCACCACACCACCATCTGAGCACAGCCAGGCAAGGACACTCCAGGGCTGAGCACATGGGTGACATCTTCATTGAAGAACAGTGTTTAAGGGCACAGAATGACAGTGGTGTCACTTTGCAGACAAGATGTGCCACTACCTGCAGTATTCACCAAGTGAGGGCAG